GTCATGTTCCATATACGTCCACATGCTTGATTCTTGATAGTTGTCTTCATCAGGGTCCTGTTGGTTGTCTCTACTAGATGTTCTAGTTCCATTGTACCTGCTTTGATATGAAGAAAAAAGGCTTTCAAATTTTTGCTTAAAGTTAATCAAATAATACGTATAATCATGTCCTAAATGCTGGCCTATCTTAGTAACTATACAATAAACTACGTGTAATTTAAACCTAGGATCTACAACAAGGCCTAATCCATATAAGAATGGAATATCTAACCAATATTTCTCGTATTTTTTTTCCATCTTTGAAACAATTTCCATTAAGATGTCATTATATCTATATTTAGCAAAAGTTTTAAAAATTTGAACTAAAATATCTAACGCTAAATTAGTAGTAGGATAATAAATACCACTTAATGTATTAGTGGATTCATAAAAAAATTTAAGAAATAAATAAAAAAGTTCGCAAACCGTCTAATCATCATAGCTGACAACTTCTGACGGATTCTTCCAATTGACGAAATCTATATTTTGTCTTGCGGTTGGCAAAGCTTTTTCCAACATCAAGTAGGTAGAGTTCCAACGGATAGGCATGTCCGTACATAACTTCAAAGGTCGAACCGGTGGATCCTCTTGCTTACAATATTTGACATACTCCATCTTTTGTTGCTACCGTTGATGATGAATCTGATAGCCACGCGTACCCTCTCAATCTTCGAAATTATAGCTTCTAAACCTGCTTTAATAATCAAATTGATGATGCGGCAAGCACATTTCTTGTGAAAAAAATTGTCTCAACCACGCAGATCCAATCTCTTTTCAAATAAAGATATAGCCGCAGTGTTAGCAACTGTATTATTTAGCGTTAGCGTTACAACTCTATTAGTTAATACATATTCTTGCAAAACTTCAAGTATTTTAAAATAAGTAGTGTCAGCATTATGTGCAGCATATAATAGTCTAAAACCTATCAATTTTTGTTGTAAACCCTAACCATGATCTAAGTAATGTATTGTGACAGTTAAAAAAATCTGTTTTTAATCTACAAATCCATATGTCTGAAGTAAGTGCAATAAATATATTCCTAAAATTTTGAAATTCGTTTTTAAGTTGAATATTTATTTGGTTATAAAGTTTTAGTATGTCTCTTCTACTTGTACTTTTACTAATAGGGGTATATGTTGGACAAAATGCAGTTTTAATCAAGTGAATAAAAAAATGATTTTCAGATAAAGAAAGGGAAGAGTCCATAGCAACTATGTATTTTGCTATTTTCTCTTGTGCTTGAGTGCATTGTATTGTTATGTTGACAGAGTTGAGGATTATGGATTAAAATTAAGCTGAGTTTGAATTTGCCTACCTGGTTCAGTTGAAGATGAATCAGATAGCTACATTATTTGAGGGTGATTCTTCTCCAAATGTTGTCTTATCGTCAAAGTCCCCTTCTCAGCACCGATAATGGTTCCACAGAAATTACATGCCCCACACAATTCTTCCCCCTCCCCATTCGTTTTTGCTCGTTTTGATTTGGTGAAGTGTCACCATACATTGAACACGACCCTCTTTGACGGTCAGGGGGGTTGGGCTGTGGAGTTGCAGCTCGCTTGTGTTTGGCTGCACCCCGTCCCGACTGAATGTGATTGTTGTCGTTGAATTGCAGCTACTGCCTCTAGAAAGAGTGAAAATGGATCGAACCCATCCATTTCTTCTGTTGATGGAACGTATAACTCATTTGACCATTCCATTATGAATTTATGATAAAATAATAAATGGTTAAAATGAAAAAAAATTAAATAATAATATGAATAAGAGATGATATTGAATAATAGAAAAAATTGAATAATATGAATAAATTATAAATATAAATATAAATTGAATTGAAGAAAATATGAATGAGAATGGATTGGAGTAGAGAGATTGAGAGTTGGTGTGAAAAAAATTGGAAGTGTGGTTATGTGGGGGACCCGTCCACACTTCCAATAATTTTTTTTAAATATCAATTTAACCTTTAATATTTTTATCAATTTCAAAATTTGGGTTTTTTGGATATTTTACAGAGGTCTTTTTGAAATTAAGCAAAAGGGTTTGGGACTAGTCCCACGCCCAGGCCTTGGAGGAGGGCCCAATCAAGGGACCAGTCCCTCCTCCCATAGGCCTGGTCTGGTTTAAGACCAGTCCCAAATGCCTAGGTCTAGATTAGGTCAGGAACAATGAACAAATTTTTACAACTATAGATTCATAAGATTGTTATGATAAGAGTAAGGGACAATAGGTCTAAAGTTCAATTAGTAGCCTCAATAGGTGTGTTATTAATAAATAGTATGATACACATTAAGTCTTGTTTGAAGACGAGTGGATAATGTGTAAGAAAGAAACCCATAACTGAGGTCTTTATATGTCCAATAACATGTTATTAACACAAATTCTTAACCCTTATTCAATAATTGTGATATAGCTTCATTCTATTAATTCATATTGTTAACTAATGACTATATTTATTGTTTTTTCTTTGATTTAGGGGTGTCCTAAGACTAATATGTATGTTAGAGATACAACTTAATGTCAATATATATATAGTAAAACCTCTCTACAGTGATACTCTATATAAGAATATTAAACTCTACATAGTCATAAAAAATTCTAATCTCAATTTGGGATAGTTATAAATAAGAATAAACTCCACATTATAATAAGTTATAATTTTTCTAATTCTCATCTTAAGGAAAATTGTCTCTATATAGTAACAATTATCTGTATATTACAAAAAAATATATGTTATGTTACATTAAAGGTTTAAGATGAAATAAAATTTTTTATCTAAAGTTGTTTGGGACAATGATTTATACTTTAGAATTGTTATTACATCTTTTACCTTGTGAGTACGTAATAACTCGCTAGCATGGACACCTTTCTTGTTAAAGTCAAAATATTTATAGCTTCTCAAGCATGTTTAGAGCTTCATGACACAAATTTTTTTGTATTTTCGTACTATCATCCTCATAATTATTTTCTTTCCTTTCTTGTCTAATTACAACAATGATTTCTTCTTTGGTTAAAGCATACACAATTTGTTGCTCTTTTGGATGATCGAGGAGAACATTAATATCTATTCGATTAGTGTAATGAAATTGTCGAATATAATCACTAAATTCTACAATGACTCTTTTATTCTTCTTATCATTTTCATTTGTAACTTGCAATTCATCGACATTGGGGGTCCTAATTTTACAGTGCTTAAAACCATTGGCAATTGTCTGTGGCTTTACATCAATTAACCATGCATCAACTGCATTTACAGTTCCATCAATGACACTGATCTTTGTTGATTTCAAGCACAATCTTCTATCCGTTTTAAAAGTAGGCAATTGAAGCGTTGAATTGAAATCCTAATACTACTAAAATATGAATTAAAATCCTAATACTATACTACTAAAACGTGAATTATAAAATAAGAAATCAAAACAATAATTTTTGTAACTACCTCCATTAAGTTATAACCTCTTCATAATAATAAAATTATTTAGTCCCACCATGATGACTATAGAAAGGTTTTACTATATATATATATATCACCCAAGGTTTGGCAAAATGGCAAGTTTCCACCCCTGGTTTCATAAATTATAGATTCTCACCCTTAAATTAACATAAATTCGTTTATGTAATGATCAAAAGGTAAAGTGGTCATTTGCATTGCATTAAATCTAAAATGAAAATAAAATTTCAAAATAACCCTCAACTTCTCAAATTTCTCTCACAAGCACCTTGAGGTGGTTTTTGTGGCACTGATGGGGCTGTTTGGTGGTTGTGTAGGGGTAGGAGGGGTGTGGCGTGTGCTCAGGGGCGTTAGGCACCAGTGTGCAGACAGGCGTGCGCACGGGGTGGTCTGTGCAGGTGGGATTTCTTTGCGGCTTTTCTTTGAACACTTGGAGTGCAAGGATGGAAAGGATAAGCTACAATCGACGGCAAAGGGCAAGCGGTCGAAAAATTACAACCAATCTGTTAACAACAACAAACACTTCAAAACTAATCCAAAACAAACTCCAAACCTACCTCCAAACACACCGATGATCAACAAACTCATGAAAACCCAATAGAGGAGGCAGGTGACGACCGGTAGGCAAATAGGGATGGGGGATAGGTGGGTTTCGTCGGGGGGTGATGGTGGAGTAGATGGTTGGGTCAAAAGTGATTTCCGATTTAGTGGGTGGCTGAAATTTGGTTGAAAAGGCGTGATAATCGCATGAAACCCTAATGGAATGGCGACGACGATTGGGAGGCCAAGGTGGTCGGGAAGTTGGGGGGTTTGGAGAGGGACGCCGATGAGCCTAATAGTTGGGTCGAGGTTATTTTTTGTGCCGGGATCAACCGAAAAAGGCTTGGAAATGCGAATTAAAAAAAAGGGTTGTGGATGGTGAGAGGGTTTTGGAAAGGATTTGTTTGTTTGGGATTTCTGAAGTTGATTGGTTGATTTTCAAAGTGTTTGAGTTTGTGGTTCAACAACAGTGGTTAGGTGGTGGTGGCAATGGCGACATGTTCCCACCCAAGGTTGAAGAAGAGAGTGTTATTGAAATAAATTTGAAAGTAAGATGGTTCTTTGTAATTCTATTAATTTAAGGGTTGAAAGGCAATTTATTATTTTATCTGTCAAGGGCAGTATGGTAATAACACCCTTTTCTTTTGACTCAGAATCTAAAATCCCTAACAATGTTGGTCTAAGGGTGAAAATCTGGAATTTATGAAACCAAGGTTAAAAACTTGCTATTTCGCCAAACATTGGTAGTAAAATGTCATTTACACACACATATATATACGTGTAAAGTCGTAAAAGAAAATAAAAATGAAAGAAAGATGTCATATAAGAAAATAAAATTTCAATTAAAGTTTAAACCTTAAAAAAAAAAAAAAAAGATAAATATAGAATATCAGATTACTTTGTTAACGAGAAAATTAAATAAATGTGAAATATATACCATTCAAAGACTTTGTCTGAGAGATAATAGTGTTATGTTAATTTATAGTGTTATGTTAAGTTAAGATACTTTTTCTTCACTCATAATTTTACATTGCGACTGACCAACAAGGTCAATCTTGTCTGCCCAAACAACATTTACAAGTTTGCAAACAATCATAACACAATTGCTGACCTTAATACTTTACCATTCCTTAGATCCAGCTCGTTTAATTACTTTGCCTGGGAATTAACAGGTAAAGGTTATTCTTTTATATTCATTACTTGTTCTGCATTTTGTTTCAGTGGTGTTAAGAGTTTAAATTTTTGTCTAAGAATTGAAGGTCGAATCTAAAAACTTGCTGACGTTTATATGCAACTATTTAATATTAGCTATTACAATTTGTTTGTTCTTTCCTTTTAACGTGGTACTTTAATCGAACATGTGATGTGCATAGGGCCTTTGTGCTGGATTCCAATGGAGCAAACTGCAGAATCCCCATACAAGCTTCTTGTGTCGTGCCCATATGGTCTCTCACCATCACAGGTTTGCTTTTAGTTATTAATTTTCGTGCATAATTATATTGGTGTACTTGCTTTTAGTGACGTGTAATCAAATATTGGAAAACCATGTGCATTGATCCGAGTATTTTTTAAGTTTGTTTGACTCATTTGTTTTTGTGGGTCAAGTTGTCTGTGATTTTTGATGAATCGTATGATAGGATTCCCCACCCAGATATAGACTTGGAGAAGTCCATTTCTGAGGTAATGCTTTTTCTCTCATCTCTTTTGTTTGNGTAAAGTCGTAAAAGAAAATAAAAATGAAAGAAAGATGTCATATAAGAAAATAAAATTTCAATTAAAGTTTAAACCTTAAAAGAAAAAAAAAAAAGATAAATATAGAATATCAGATTACTTTGTTAACGAGAAAATTAAATAAATGTGAAATATATACCATTCAAAGACTTTGTCTGAGAGATAATAGTGTTATGTTAATTTATAGTGTTATGTTAAGTTAAGATACTTTTTCTTCACTCATAATTTTACATTGCGACTGACCAACAAGGTCAATCTTGTCTGCCCAAACAACAGTTACAAGTTTGCAAACAATCGTAACACAATTGCTGACCTTAATACTTTACCATTCCTTAGATCCAGCTCGTTTAATTACTTTGCCTGGGAATAACAGGTAAAGGTTATTCTTTTATATTCATTACTTGTTCTGCATTTTGTTTCAGTGGTGTTAAGAGTTTAAATTTTTGTCTAAGAATTGAAGGTCGAATCTAAAAACTTGCTGACGTTTATATGCAACTATTTAATATTAGCTATTACAATTTGTTTGTTCTTTCCTTTTAACGTGGTACTTTAATCGAACATGTGATGTGCATAGGGCCTTTGTGCTGGATTCCAATGGAGCAAACTGCAGAATCCCCATACAAGCTTCTTGTGTCGTGCCCATATGGTCTCTCACCATCACAGGTTTGCTTTTAGTTATTAATTTTCGTGCATAATTATATTGGTGTACTTGCTTTTAGTGACGTGTAATCAAATATTGGAAAACCATGTGCATTGATCCGAGTATTTTTTAAGTTTGTTTGACTCATTTGTTTTTGTGGGTGAAGTTGTCTGTGATTTTTGATGAATCGTATGATAGGATTCCCCACCCAGATATAGACTTGGAGAAGTCCATTTCTGAGGTAATGCTTTACTCTCATCTCTTTTGTTTGATTTGTGTTTGTATCAAATTACTCCATTGAGTACTATAGCAGATTTTAGATTAGCACATTTGGATTCTGATGAAATACTACTGATTTTATTTATAATCATTTGTTATATCTTGAGAAACAACATTTTGAAGAAATATGGGTGCATTAAGTTGACTTGAGTAATTTCAATAATCTTGTTACAAGTGTAAGCGAATGGACCTTTTTCCTTATAATACGCAAACACATCCTAGTTTAAACACTGAAAATTTTTATTGCATTTATATTTAGATATGGGATTCAAGGGTTCAGCAGAATGGTTCATTGTTCAACGGAAAAAAGTTCAGGGTATGTTAAACTACGTGAATTTTTTTCTTTTTTTAGTTTTTGTTGTATATACATTTTGTTGATTAGTTATCATGAAGTGATCTAGTTTTGTCATACATTGATGACTAGGGGACTCTAAGGTAACTCAATCAGTATCAAACTTCTTTACTTCTTGTGCAAATCAATGAAGGAATTAGGGAATTCTTGCATGGACAATCGTACATTTTCTTGTGATTGGATCTCTTGGGATCACAGTATTTGTTATTGTTGGATTCAACTTTGTGCATTTTAATTTGATAGTTTTTCTTATGAAGCAATTTCACTAATAATTTATTTTGTTAACCTTTTTACAGTATGGAGGGTATGTAATGCATGGTGAAGGTGGGTCCAATCAACAATCTCACATGTGCCTCCACCTTGGGTTGACCGATTATAGGTCTCTATCTATACAGACACCTGTATAATTTTTCGATAAAATGATTAAATAATTAATTTCTCATTACTCTAATTCTTTGATGTCAACTCCTCATTATTATACATTATATCACGATGAGTAGTATGTTTAAGTGTGAGTTGAGTTTCAACTTCTAATACATACATTTAGCTCTAAATGGATGCTTTAGGTGGACATACTGGTGGTCTAGAGTGCTGGAGAGGTCTTCTTGAGTTTCAACATTAAGCAAAACTTGGTACATTAGTGTCGTTGGGGATCACTCCTCTGATTCATTGAAATTAGTTTGGAATGGCACAACTGCACAGCTTTCTGCCATCATAGATTTTCATAAACAGGAGGAGCCCGCACCGCTAGAGTCATTTTTGGCATATAATTGTGCACACATGCATCTTTATTCCGATATTTTATAGGAATCAAGATATGCTGGCCAAATATGTAACATCATTGTCATCCAAAAATTTTATTGTGATCCCATTTTCTGCCATACCATTGCATCAGGGAAGGAAAATATTTTTAAAATAGTCTTCTAGTGCCCAAAGTGGTAAGGTCGGATTATTTCAATGACTTTGTACTGTTTCTGCCCTTAAATGTATTTTGCTACAATTGTCCTTAGTCAAATGAACGAATTGTGGTTTGCACTTTGCACCTTATAGATCTGGGGTTTGATTCTCAAGGCTATCAACTCGGAAAAAAGCAATGAGTTTCCTATGTTCCAATATTGTGGAGTTCAGTGGGGGCCTATTTACATAGTTGAATTCACTAAGTAGGAGGATTTATAGGTATCCAAAGAAAAAAAGAAAAAGAAGAAAATCGTTCTTTTCCAAGGTTCGATAGTCATTGTGCCTGAACCGCAGAGTTCAGATGTTAGACTGGCTGAACTTAAAATTCTTCCTCATCATTTTTGTAGTAGCCATGTATTAACGCTGTCCGCTTCCTACCCTACAGATAATCTTTTCCTGGGAAATGGTGGATAACATCTCTAATTGTTAGAATTTTTTTTTTTTTTTTTATTTTTACCCAACTTTAAAAGGTTTATGTTTAGCAAGTTGTGGGGAACAAGAATATTTGTTTTGTACATGGTATATATTAATCAGTTCGAAAGTATGATGCCTGCTAATCGGTTTGTGTTTGCTGTAAATTCCTACTGCCGTCTGACTAATTTAATTGGATGGATGAATGAGAGTAGCGTATCCTATTGCTATAACTTCTAATTCAAAGTTTGGTTTTGTCGTTAAGAATATGATGCTTTCTGCTTATTCCGCTTTTAGTTTTGCTCATAAACGAAATGTGTGCCCTTTGCTTTAAGTTTTGCTTGTAAACGAAATGTGTGCCCTTTGCTTTAAATTTTGCTCGTAAACAAAATGTGTGCCCTTTGCTTTTAGTTATATTCTTGCCATAAAGCATGATTTCTGTCATAATAGATTATGTTGTATCTCACTGACGCTTTCTCCCAAATTAACAATTTAATACATCTACTTGTTACCAGGACTTTTGTGGGGACAAATTTAAATCCTTTGTGGTACAAGTTCCTGTTTCCATCCGAAGGTATAATGGCATAAACATAGGACAACCCATACTGATTTTCACATGCCTCCCATGACCCTTGATGATAATACTAAATTCGTATTGCGTGCAGAGACAAAAATATTTACAGCCACTGCACACTGTTCATCTTGCACTTTCTCATCTATGCAGAATTCTAATCCACCTCTGAATTGGCAGCTTGATGGAACTAGAAAATAGTAAACATAAATCTGTCAGCTGATCTTTTAATTGTTTAGATAAGATAATTTTATAAGAACTGAATTCCTTTAAGTAGAAGTGATATTATGCACAATTTCTTTTTCTCCGGGTGCTAACTAGCTTCTTCGTTTTTCAAAATCATAGTACTGCATGATTTTTTACTGCTAAAAATCAACTTGGCTAACTTATTAAAATTTCTGTTACATATTTTTTGTCTATTGAAGCGATTCATATCTCTTTAGCATTAATAGATTTGTCTTTCTGTAGATGATGCTATACAGTGTCAGCACACTGCAAGTCCGCTGGGTAACGGTGCAGTTGTAGAGACATCTGACAAGAAATTACTTGTGTTGCAAAGAAGTTATAATGTTGGGGAATTTCCTGGACACTTTGTTTTCCCAGGAGGACATCCAGAGGTATTAAATCTGGAAATAAGAATATCCTTCCTCTTTTTGGTAGGCATGGAATATATTTCCTTACTAACCCTGCTGCACTAGTTTGTGTTGGTATTTGTCACTTGGATGCAAAATTCTATGGCACTATCGTCTCATATCATTCATTTGTAGTAAAGATCATATTTGATAATTGACAGCCCCAAGATGCCGGACTAGAATCTCATCAGTGTCGAAATGACTCAAAAGATTCTGAGCTTATTAATGAGAAAGTTTCTCAAGAGATGTTTGACAGTATTATTCGTGAAGTAGTTGAAGAAATTGGAGTACCAGCAGTATCTCTTGTGAGTTGTCTCTTAATTGGATATCAAGTCTTTGTTCTCAACTTTATAGTTTACATCTGCAAGTTTCTAAGTCTTTCACATTCTCCCAGTGCGACCCACTTTTCATTGGTGTCTCCCGCAGGCAGTTAAATGTTAGACCAGCTGCTTTTTTCTTCATAAAATGCAGTCTTGAGTCAAAAGAAATTCAACAATTGTATTCTAGTGCACAAGATGGCTTTGAGTCTACCCAACTGTATACCGTTTCAATGGTGAGTTCATTTTTGTTTCTCACTTCAATCCTGTTGCAAAAATGTGGTTAACTTTGTGAAAATTGCTTAGCTTACTTAGCCATTTATCGAGGAAACAATAATGGTGGCAAGTGTGAGTGGAGAAGGTAGGTATTGGGTGGATAATATAGAAAGAATCATTACTTATTAGAGTGGCTTCACCAACAGTAAACTTCTCGTAAGAACTTTTTAATGTCTTGGACACAGTTGATAGTCTAGTATTCGTGATGGAGAATATCTGATTCTATTACAAAGTAGTTTATTTAAGAGATTTAAATATTTCTCATTTTAAGTGGATTTAGTTTCTCTAATTTAGTTTTTTTAGTCAGGCAACACATAGATTTGTTTATTTTTCTTATTTTATTTAGTATTAGCCGCTTTAAAGAAGGCCTTATGTTGTCATCATAATTATTGATTTATGAAATATATGCTTCTCCCATAACTCTTAATTGTTTCTCTTCCAAATTCTCTGTGATTTCTCTCATTTTTAATTCTTTTGGTTTATCTCCCCTTTCTTTCCCTCCCTTTACCTTTTTCTCCCTTAGTTTATATACTGTTTGCCCTACATCAGTTGCAATTAATTGCCCTATATCATTAGTTACTATATATTAATTGCATTTTTACCTCTAAACTCAGGAAAGTTTACAGTGGATCCCATTTTTTGTTTACTCACTGGATCCATCACGTTTTCATCATCTTGCCCCATTTTTTATTCATATCTTCATCATGTTTTGCCCATCTTTGGTTTTGTGACCCTCTAATTAGGTTTATATATTTCTCTTTGGTTTTGCTTACAATATCTTTTATTCACTGCTTCGAACTAAGTACTTAATTTTGGGAGAAAAAATTAGTTTGGCCCACCCTAACTGAATTTCCTTACTACACCCTTTCCGAGTCATTGCTGACCATATAGCATAAATAATTATTTAATTTTGTTTTTAATTTATCTTAACATATGATTAATTAATTCTTTATCTTTCAGGTAGACCTAGAAAACATGATATCTAACATGCCTGGCTGCCATCAAGGTGGATTTGCTCTCTACAGGCTGATGGTAGATACTTTGAAGAGTACATGATAGAAATCCACGACATCAGTTCAATTAAAGTAATCTGCCCTAAGTGACGCGGTATTCCGTGGCAACTTTCTTTCAACTACCTTGCCTTAATTTAAAATTTTTCTTTGTGGTTGATACAGATTAGAAATAATGACATTTACTAGATTCTTCCTCCTACAGCAATTAAACTACTTAAAGGCATGATTATGGACTCCCTCCTACAACAATTAAACTACTTAAGAGGCATGATTATGGAAGCTTATTGTTGATAATAAATACGTATGGCATTGATCTATCCAAATTATTGTAAATCTTTACATTACTTTTACAATAATTTGTTTGCAGATTGCTCCATGACTCTGTTGGTGTGATCATGTGTAAATTTAATTCCTGGGCTTGCATTTGATGCAAGTAATCAGTTTTTCGTACAAAATCAGTTCGAAAGTATGATGCCTGCTAATCGGTTTGTGTTTGCTGTAAATTCCTACTGCCGTCTGACTAATTTAATTGGATGGATGAATGAGAGTAGCGTATCCTATTGCTATAACTTCTAATTCAAAGTTTGGTTTTGTCGTTAAGAATATGATGCTTTCTGCTTATTCCGCTTTTAGTTTTGCTCATAAACGAAATGTGTGCCCTTTGCTTTAAGTTTTGCTTGTAAACGAAATGTGTGCCCTTTGCTTTAAATTTTGCTCGTAAACAAAATGTGTGCCCTTTGCTTTTAGTTATATTCTTGCCATAAAGCATGATTTCTGTCATAATAGATTATGTTGTATCTCACTGACGCTTTCTCCCAAATTAACAATTTAATACATCTACTTGTTACCAGGACTTTTGTGGGGACAAATTTAAATCCTTTGTGGTACAAGTTCCTGTTTCCATCCGAAGGTATAATGGCATAAACATAGGACAACCCATACTGATTTTCACATGCCTCCCATGACCCTTGATGATAATACTAAATTCGTATTGCGTGCAGAGACAAAAATATTTACAGCCACTGCACACTGTTCATCTTGCACTTTCTCATCTATGCAGAATTCTAATCCACCTCTGAATTGGCAGCTTGATGGAACTAGAAAATAGTAAACATAAATCTGTCAGCTGATCTTTTAATTGTTTAGATAGGATAATTTTATAAGAACTGAATTCCTTTAAGTAGAAGTGATATTATGCACAATTTCTTTTTCTCCGGGTGCTAACTAGCTTCTTCGTTTTTCAAAATCATAGTACTGCATGATTTTTTACTGCTAAAACTCAACTTGGCTAACTTATTAAAATTTCTGTTACATATTTTTTGTCTGTTGAAGCGATTCATATCTCTTTAGCATTAATAGATTTGTCTTTCCGTAGATGATGCTATACAGTGTCAGCACACTGCAAGTCCGCTGGGTAATGGTGCAGTTGTAGAGACATCTGACAAGAAATTACTTGTGTTGCAAAGAAGTTATAATGTTGGGGAATTTCCTGGACACTTTGTTTTCCCAGGAGGACATCCAGAGGTATTAAATCTGGAAATAAGAATATGCTTCCTCTTTTTGGTAGGCATAGAATATATTTCCTTACTAACCCTGCTGCACTAGTTTGTGTTGGTATTTGTCACTTGGATGCAAAATTCTATGGCACTATCGTCTCATATCATTCATTTGTAGTAAAGATCATATTTGATGATTGACAGCCCCAAGATGCCGGACTAGAATCTCATCAGTGTCGAAATGACTCAAAAGATTCTGAGCTTATTAATGAGAAAGTTTCTCAAGAGATGTTTGACAGTATTATTCGTGAAGTAGTTGAAGAAATTGGAGTACCAGCAGTATCTCTTGTGAGTTGTCTCTTAATTGGATATCAAGTCTTTGTTCTCAACTTTATAGTTTACATCTGCAAGTTTCTAAGTCTTTCACATTCTCCCAGTGCGACCCACTTTTCATTGGTGTCTCCCGCAGGCAGTTAAATGTTAGACCAGCTGCTTTTTTCTTCATAAAATGCAGTCTTGAGTCAAAAGAAATTCAACAATTGTATTCTAGTGCACAAGATGGCTTTGAGTCTACCCAACTGTATACCGTTTCAATGGTGAGTTCATTTTTGTTTCTCACTTCAATCCTGTTGCAAAAATGTGGTTAACTTTGTGAAAATTGCTTAGCTTACTTAGCCATTTATCGAGGAAACAATAATGGTGGCAAGTGTGAGTGGAGAAGGTAGGTATTGGGTGGATAATATAGAAAGAATCATTACTTATTAGAGTGGCTTCACCAACAGTAAACTTCTCGTAAGAACTTTTTAATGTCTTGGACACAGTTGATAGTCTAGTATTCGTGATGGAGAATATCTGATTCTATTACAAAGTAGTTTATTTAAGAGATTTAAATATTTCTCATTTTAAGTGGATTTAGTTTCTCTAATTTAGTTTTTTTAGTCAGGCAACACATAGATTTGTTTATTTTTCTTATTTTATTTAGTATTAGCCGCTTTAAAGAAGGCCTTATGTTGTCATCATAATTATTGATTTATGAAATATATGCTTCTCCCATAACTCTTAATTGTTTCTCTTCCAAATTCTCTGTGATTTCTCTCATTTTTAATTCTTTTGGTTTATCTCCCCTTTCTTTCCCTCCCTTTACCTTTTTCTCCCTTAGTTTATATATTGTTTGCCCTACATCAGTTGCAATTAATTGCAGACTTATCCTTAAGTTAGAAAATTACTAAAATATCATTAGTTACTATATATTAATTGCATTTTTACCTCTAAACTGATGAAAGTTTACAGTGGATCCCATTTTTTGTTTACTCACTGGATCCATCACGTTTTCATCATCTTGCCCCATTTTTTATTCATATCTTCATCATGTTTTGCCCATCTTTGGTTTTGTGACCCTCTAATTAGGTTTATATATTTCTCTTTGGTTTTGCTTACAATATCTTTTATTCACTGCTTCGAACTAAGTACTTAATTTTGGGAGAAAAAATTAGTTTGGCCCACCCTAACTGAATTTCCTTACTACACCCTTTCCGAGTCATTGCTGACCATATAGCATAAATAATTATTTAATTTTGTTTTTAATTTATCTTAACATATGATTAATTAATTCTTTATCTTTCAGGTAGACCTAGAAAACATGGTATCTAACATGCCTGGCTGCCATCAAGGTGGATTTGCTCTCTACAGGCTGATGGTAGATACTTTGAAGAATACATGATAGAAATCCACGACATCAGTTCAATTCAAGTAATCTGCCCTAAGTGACTCGGTATTCCGTGGCAACTTTCTTTCAACTACCTTGCCTTAATTTAAAATTTTTCTTTGTGGTTGATACAGATTAGAAATAATGACATTTACTAGATTCTTCCTCCTACAGCAATTAAACTACTTAAAGGCATGATTATGGACTCCCTCCTACAACAATTAAACTACTTAAGAGGCATGATTATGGAAGCTTATTGTTGATAATAAATACGTATGGCATTGATCCATCCAAATTATTGTAAATCTTTACATTACTTTTACAATAATTTGTTTGCAGATTGCTCCATGACTCTGTTGGTGTGATCATGTGTAAATTTAATTCCTGGGCTTGCATTTGATGCAAGTAATCAGTTTTTCGTAAAAACATGAAATTTTGTTTTCAAAATGGGGAAAAAAAAAAAAAAAAAAATTGTTAGACTGGTAAACTAGTGGGTTTATCAAGAACATCTCTGAACTTATTTTATGTGTAAAGTTCTCTCTCTGAATTGGATGTTGAGAGGAGCTGTTGGTTAGAGTAAGATGTTGCTGATTGTTATAAGTGAAATAAAAATAATTGAACGGACTAGGCCCACTGGGTGATTAAGGTCAAAATTATGTTTTCCGAAAGAGTTGGTGGGTGATTGATAAAGAAAGCTAAGAAAATAGTTGTCAACCATTTTTTTTGTATTATATATCCTTATCTTTACCAATTTATTTAGTTATACGTGCATCTCATGTGGTCTTGAAATATATCTATTGTTCGTTGGATTTGTTATGTTAGTGGTCTTAATCTAATAATAACATCATTGAATGAATTGTGACTTACAGTTATTGGGTTAAATAATTTGTAGATATAAATAGTCAGTTTCGGATGGCCACATATAAAATATCTTCAAACTAACTACTAATGAATAGTGGTGGAGATCATCATACTATCTCAACATTTTATACTTAAATCAGACCAATTCTATTGGTTGAAGTAGTCAACAGTCAAACCCAAATATATGCAGCAACAAACAATACTGTTTAACACCACTATCTGTGCAGTGATTTATGCAGAGACAAATCAGTTAACAATCGTGTCTCTCGACAAGCACGTGCGGCGGTTGATTCTCCCATTTCTGTTGCAGTGCTGTGGAGACATATAATTTAACTGTTGAAGCATGTGAAAAAGCAATGTAGTTGGGTTTGTTTGGACTTTATTTTGGTTGCTTGCTCTCCATGTGATTTTTAACTTTATTTAATGATATAATACTTAAGATTTTTAGGCAATTATTGTGTCTTTTTTAAGCTTTCTTCTTTGTGAAGTTCTTACTTTCTAACCCAAATTTATCGTCTTCTCCTCAATACCTTTGCTTTCTGTATTTCATCTTTTTGCTTGATATTGTTGCTCAAAAGTTGAACCATAATTTTTATACTAATTTGAATATTTTTTTTTTTTGTTTAACATGGTAATTATAAACAATTTAATTCGTTTTTGGAATTAGAAAACATAGCAAGTCTCTTTTTTTTTTCGGTAACCGAGATGTCGGAGTCATCTTATGTGCGCTTTAATTAATTTTTGGGGTTTATTACACACTTTACAAATCCATAGAACCAAGTAAGCTACAATGTTATTGTGGTAGATAATCCCAAAGTTTGAATCCAATAATTTAAGGAAAATAGCAAACTTCTTTGACCGTCATCCTAATCTCTTGGGATTCACATATATTTATTAGAGGAAACGTTAAGAAAACATGGTTGGTGCATGTTTTCAAGAATAAATTTCCAAAGAATAAATTAAAAATAGCACCCAAAAAAAAAAGATTATATAAAATATTCTAAAATCAACGCTCTATTAAAAAGTGTCGTAAGGTGTACATAGTGCTGTTGGCGTCATGTAGCTCTGAGCATCTGGGCATCAACGTTAAAAACAATTTGAATGTGTTTTTTTTTATTCTGTGAGTTGATTATTTCATTCACATTTTGTGTTGACATTACAACATGATATTATCGGCTTTACTGATGAGTTGATTCTTACCTGCCAATTTAAAACCATTTAATTTCACTATCACAACCAAATATTTGACTCTTCATCACATTTACTTTACAAAAGGAAATGCTGATTTTTCTTTTTCTTTTTTCTATCTAATCATATATTTGTTGTCTCGAAGTCAATGACAAGACCAGATTCATGTATGCAATGAACCCGTGAATTATTCTATCATAAAAAAATTAAGCAATAATTAAAATGGAATTTAATTAGAGATTTATTATTATTATTTTTTTATTATGAGCGAAAATTGAGGCAATAACCTAAAATTAAGGAAATCTTTTTAGTTTTGGTCGATCGTTGGGATCTCTCGGTTTCCGTTAATCGGATAAAACTCATATGCAGTTCTCAGTTCTTGTCGGCGCTCACACCTCGTTAAGAAGCGCGTGTTTTAACATTTAAAAAAGCGCGTGGATACCTTATTTGTCAGGAAGTGGAATGCAACGTGGGCATTCTCATGTCCGTCCAAAACATACTCGCAGTCTACACGCGTGGACCCCAACCACGAGTCTGCTGGGTCCCTTCTTCTTCTTGTTGCTTAGCCAGCCTCTGTTTTGTTATGAGCCAAACATATATCACTTTCATCGGTGTCATGATTTTACTTGAAGAAACATTTTGAAGCCAAATTGACATTATTATAATTTTTATATTAATCATTTTACACGAATCTGTCACTCTCCAAAGCCTATATCCTTGATTTATACTATAATCCTTTCACATTAGAAATAAATTGAAATAGTGTGAAAAGAAAAGTGGTTAAATGATGGAACCCATTAACCAAAGGTGGCATTTACTGTCTAAATCACTAAATGTGACCACTAGGCCGTCCCATGATAAAAAGGTAAAAGAGAATATAAGATAATCGTGTAAATTTTCGATCATTTTTATGATTAAAGAGGGTAATCTAATATGGTGTTACTGTAATTAAGTCAATGGATTTTGAATAAATTTCATCTTAAGGTGTGGCCCCATCACTCTACTGGCCCCACTAATTAACATGATGGGTCCTTACAAAATGTCACTCACTTAAAATGATGGGATCAGATGGTGTAGATTGGGTGATGGGCCAACATCAGATGCATGATTGGTTATGTGTTTAGTGGATGCGAGTGAGGAAGAGAAATCTGAGTTAGCTTTTATACTGTTACCTGATGGTTAATTTATTGTAGCTGTGTCCCATTATTTATGGCCGGGCTAATCTATGGCTCCTTGTGCCACCACCTATTTTCTTTCATTTTCTTTTATTTATTTTAACATTATCATATCTCCACGCACATCAACACGCGTGATGTCCACGGACATTTTTCTTATCCTGAACATTTTCAATAAATCTTATATTCACGTTATTTACAATTAAATATAAGAAATCTTAATCGTATTAGCCCTCCTTTTTCTTAATGGATTTTTAAAATTTAAAATTTGAGAATTTTTAAGATTATTATTGTTCTAATTAAGAAAGAAGAGTGGGAATTTTGCATTAAAATTTCTAATTAAATGTAAAGAGAAAAACCTATCGTATACAAAAATAGCAAATAAGAGATGTAGTAAACTGTCAGGTCAAGCAAAGGCAATAGGCGCGTGGTTCTGTTATTTCGGTTGGTTTCATAACCCATAATGCCTCAGGTTCTGCTTCTCTTTTGCCATTTAATTTCATTTTTTTCTTTATCTCCTTTAACTTAATTGTTCTTTTGATTCTCAGAGAAGGAAAAATATTAATTCAGCCCAAGGTTGTCATCATCACAGCCTTTACAAAAGTCTCTTCTTTTGTAGGTTTAAGCTTGGCTTTTTGTGTAGAGCTTCTGGCTTTGATCTTATATTCATACATAGTTTGCTGTTGCGTACATGTGCGTTTTAATGTTTTTGAACCTCCACTTATATATTCCATTCTTCTTCTTTAACCCTTCAAAAATGGACCACAGTAAACTTTTCTAGATTTTGTTTCAGAATCCATTAAGGTTGTTTTTGTTTTCTTTTGTTAACCTTATTGTGCTGGTTCCTTAATTATATGGATTCATTTCTGTTTCATGGAGGAGAATAAAAGTTGCCGCTTTCAAACCCAGGTAATAAATATCGCCATGTTTATCTTACACATTTTGTTTTGATTCTTTATTCGATCTTCTTGTCATTGAGAAAAAAAAGAAACAGAGTTTTTCAATGATCGCAATGGAGAAAACACATTATTTCGTTTGCTATGCTTTTGTGGGGTTGTTTGTTTTAATGTTTTCTATTAGCATTTTCATTGATCAGAAGCTATTGGTTGTTTCTTTTCATGTTTTGGATGAATCACTAGAGTTGTTTTCATTGGTAATAATGGAGGAAAAAGTGGATTGATCATGGAAATTATTGGTTGGAAATGTTAGAAAAAAGATGTAAAGTTGACCAGGTTTGATTCTTTTTGTGAACAGGTCAACAGTTTGGGATGCAAGAGACTAGGGAACAAGACATGGGAGGCAGAAAATGAATAGCAAAATTTAGTCCTCAGTGAGATCAAAAACAGTTTAAATCGTCATTTTTTTAAACTGATTTTGGTAAATAATAATATATTGTTGGATTGAAATAAACGATTTTGATCTGGGTTCCTGCTAGGAGGAGGAAAAGAAAGATAGTATTTATTTATTGATTTGAAATAGCTAAGAAAAAAAGCCTTTTTAGTAGTTAGTACAATGGAGGCACCAAAAGTTAGGAAAAAGATGACTAAACAGTTAACAGGAAAACGTGACGATACAAACTTGCATTCGGCGGCAAGAGCAGGAAATCTAGCTGCAATTACAGAAATTATAACTAATACTAGGGAAGCTGAATTGAAGGAATTGTTGGCAAAAGAAAACAGCTCTGGTGAAACAGCTCTTTATGTTGCTGCGGATTATGGTTATGTTGATGTGGTTCGCGAGTTGATCAAGTATTACGATCTTGCTGATGCTGGAACCAGAGCTAGAAATGGATTTGATGCATTCCACATTGCTGCCAAACAAGGAGATTTGGGTATTTTCTCAATACAAGCATTTTTTTTTTTGTCATTGTGGCAATTTCTTTTCCAGTGATTAAAATGAGTTTGTGTTTGCCTTGTTGTAGAGATATTGAAAGTCCTACTGGAGGCTCATCCTGAATTGGCCATGACTGTTGATTTATCAAACACAACAGCTTTGCACACTGCCGCAATGCAAGGGCATACAGAGGTTGTCAACTTTTTGTTGGATGCGGGAAGTAGCCTTGCAACAATAGCGAGAAGTAATGGGAAAACAGCCCTGCATTCAGCAGCAAGGAATGGACATTTGGAGGTTTTGAAGGCTCTTTCAGCGGCGGATCCTGGGATTGCAACACGGACTGATAAAAAGGGGCAAACTGCACTTCACATGGCAGTGAAAGGACAGAATATTGAGGTGGTGGAGGAGTTGATTAAGGCAGAGCCTTCATCTGTAAACATGGTTGATACTAAAGGCAACTCACCATTGCATATAGCAACCCGAAAGGGTAGAGCTGAGGTAAATTACCCATTTTCTTCTACCTTATAGATTGATCAACAACATAAAAAATTTAATGCTTCTTTTATAGATTATAGTTCACCATTTCACTCAGAATTTCTCTTGCATTGATTGGGCTGAAAGCTTCATAGAAATTACTGTTGAATTTCACTTTCAGCTATCACGCTGAGGAGTATTGACACAATAAAAAATGCTAGTTTCTAGTTATTTTGAATTAGGGCAGAATGATGTGGGTAGCACTATTCTAATCCTCATGTCAGTCTGCGAATTTTCAAATTCCTTGCATACTTTTGTATACTCAATTGTTGAGAACACCCTCTTTCTGGAAAAGTTGCTTACCAAGTTTCCTAAAAGGAAGAGATTAACATTAAACCCATTTTTCGTTTGTCCTTAAAAATTATAGATTTTATATCAACCTAGTCCCTGCTACTATCATGGTGAGAAATGTAAGGATTTCAGATTATGGTGGTCGATTTGGCAAATGTTTAGTGCAGATGAAATAATTGCTTAACTGTACGTCTAATTGAAAACAGAAATCACCATATGAATTCTGATTACACAACAATATATGTATCGAATTTTCTTGTGGATTATATTAAAAGAGTGGTGGCTAATGTATACATCAGCGTCTAAAATGTTATTGGTTTTGCAGTTACAACAACTTTCAAAGATATACTTCTACAATTTGATGAATTTAGCACTCAATCTATTGATTGTTCTGGGAAATTATGATTCATTGCTTGATTTTATTTGTCAAAACTGAAGAAGATTACTATACTTTTACCATAGAAAATGTCAGACGAGAGGCAAAACTAACAATAACAATCTATATTCTGTTTGTGCAGATTGTGAAGCTGATACTGACAAAAACCGAAACTGATACAAAATTAATTAACAGGAGCAATGAAACTGCCCTAGACACTGCTGAGAAAACTGCCCAAAAAGACATCGCAGACATCTTGAGGGATCATGGAGTTGAAAGTGCCAGAAACATGAAAACTCAGCCGAAAAATCCAGCTCGCGAGTTGAAACAAACTGTGAGCGACATAAAGCATGAAGTCCACTACCAACTAGAACACACCCGCCAAACGAGAAAACGTGTGCAAGGCATTGCCAAACATGTCAGAAAAATGCATATTGAAGGTCTAAATAATGCAATAAACTCCACGACAGTTGTTGCGGTCCTTATAGCCACAGTTGCATTTGCAGCCATTTTCCAAATCCCAGGACAGTATGTTGATGACAATGATAAACTGTCTCCTGGGGTCTCACTTGGGGAAGCAAATGTTGCACCAAAACCAGCGTTTGTAATCTTCTTCATTTTTGATTCCATTGCTCTCTTCATTTCATTGGCAGTTGTGGTGGTGCAAACCTCAGTTGTAGTAATAGAGAGCAAAGCAAAGAAGAAGTTGATGGCAATTATTAACAAGGTGATGTGGTTGGCTTGTGTGCTTGTTTCAGTGGCGTACTTAGCAATGTCATTTATCGTGGTGGGGGACCAAAATAAATGGCTGGCAATCGGAGTGACAATAGTAGGAGCTGTTATAATGGCTGCTACATTGGGTACTATGTGTTATTGGGTAATTAGGCATAGGATTGAAGACTCAAACATGAGGAGTATTCGGAGATCTTCCTTGAACAGCAGGTCAAGGTCCATGTCAATGTCAGTCATCTCAGATACTGAGATTCTAAATAATGAGTATAAGAAAATGTATGCAATTTAACATTTTCCTACGCCTCATCCTTTTTTAACATACAGCGTAAAGTTTAACTGCTAAATGTATATTTTTTTACATAGTTCGCAGTTTTTATCATGGAGAAATTTAGGTTATCTTAGTTGATGTGCATGCTGTCTAAACACTAAACGTCAAACTTTCTTAAGCATAGAAAAGGAAGAAGGATTCTGATCAATATTCCTTGGATGACACATCCTGTGGTTGCCATGTAGAAGAGCAAATGGACAATGATTAAAGCTAATATAACTAGGAAGCAACCAAATAAACTGTCCTGGCACTTGCAGATGACAACAAACTGCAGACAAAATATAACATTGATGTGCTACAAAGCATTTATGCATGGGTTTGGTGGCCCATTTCGGTGAAATTTTTAAGGAATCAACCAGCATAAATGGAGCTACTTGACCACCCATGTGTAATTTATCATGGGAATGCCTCTGTATAGGAATACACAGCATGACCAATTGCCTTGCCTGAAACCAAAACCACTAATAAAATGCTCTTCCAACAAGGACTTAGCTTTGTAGAACAAGACAAATATTGATGGAGCATGTGGCCTTTTATGGTCCTCAAAATCAGAATCTCTAGAACCAAACAATGGGTGAGGAAGACATTAAGATAACAGTAGTTAACATTACTTAACAAACAAAACAAGGAATTAAATGGTAAAAGTTGTTTTAATGAGATTTTATAATTTCCTATCTTTTAATTGATGATATCATCACCAAATTATTAAGTTGATAATTTTTAGAGAAAGTTTCTACCATGCTGGATGTTTTGATCTTTAAGTCTATATAATTTCCAACGAGAATGAAAATTCTGGATTTAATCCCAAAGTTGGTATCTCCCATTCTCCCTATTTTGATATCTTTTATATAATTAAAATTTTATTTTTTATTTTCTTTTATTCTAAAATAAATTAACCATGTGTAAACTGTTGAATTAATAGAGTATTTCGGCCATACCTTTTGGGTATTTTCAATCGACAATTTTAAACAGAGAAGTATCTAACATAGTGTTTCGAGTTGAGTTTTCCGATTGCCAATAGGAGTGATCACTGAAGCTTTTACCGGTCGAAAGTTTCAGATCTCAAAAGATTAATTAAAGTATATGTAACTGATTTTAACACTCTGAAATTAAAAAAAAAAAAAAAAAAGGAGGGCTCATCTATAGCCCGGGGATACTATCTATTCCCTATATATTAGTAATTATTTATATATTTTAATTTTAATTAATCAGCAAATATTGTAAGTCAAATTTGTGTAACGTGCACAAAAACATTTATCATAAATACAAGTCAAATTTGTAATTAAACTAAAATTGAAGCATATAAATAAAAAATAAAAAATAAAAATACAAGAAACGAGTTTTATTTTCTTCGAGTAACACAGTTGTGTGTGATCGAAAGAAAGAACGATGGACGATGAATTGCTGGAACTGCAGAGACAATTCGAGTCTGCTCAACAAGCAAAATCCAGCATCCGATTATCGGAGAGAAACGTCGTCGAATTAGTTCAAAAGCTTCACGAGCTTCACATCATCGATTTCGACCTTCTCCACACCGTCTCTGGAAAAGAATACATAACTCCTGTAAACATCTCTATCTCGGTTTTATCTCTGTTTGTTTCTCGATAACAGTATATATTTACTTAACTGAAGCCGAATTGCTGACATTGACCGGATTTAGTTTAGAATAGGCTATTATTCATGATATGTCCAAATTATTAGCGGTTTTTGGTGAAATGTTAACTTTGAATCTGGTACATAAGTATGCATGTGACTGTTGTTGAAGTTTAATTTGGTTTTGATGATATAATACAAAGACTTGTTTTTGTAATCAAGACAAATCAAAATGATTTCATTATTTATCGTCAAATGTTTACTTTATATTTGATAAAATGCAAGCAGAAATGCTTATAGATGGTAGATAATTGCAGGGTAATGCATGTGTAGATATTCTTATAATTTGTAAATGATATTATATCCAAATATGTTGTGATCAAACAGATTATTCGGGATTGAGAATGTTAAATATTTACTTTTGGTACATTGGTTTCTGTGGAGTACAAGGATCAATTTTATCCTATATAATTTGTTGCTTGGAATACTTTGATTGTGATGATTATATGTGGCATTATAGGAACAATTGAGGAATGAAATTGTGACAGAGGTCAAGAAATTAGGGCGTGTTTCTTTGATTGATCTTGCGGACACTACCAGTGTTGATTTATACCATGTTGAGAAGCAAGCAGAACAAGTTGTTTCTGGTGATCCGGAGCTCATGTTAATTCAAGGGGAAATAATATCTCAATCATATTGGGACATTGTAGCTGAAGAAATCAATGAGAGGCTTCAAGAGTGTAGTCAACTTGCTTTGGCAGAACTGGCTGCGCAGTTACAAGTCGGCTCTGAGTTGGTGGCATCAATGTTGGAGCCTCGTCTTGGGTCACTGGTAGCTTATTTTATAAATTACATGCAACTTTAGGGTAGCAAATGCAAATTTATATGGTGATTTATTTTGACTTTTAGGTGAAAGGTAGGCTTGAAGGTGGACAGTTGTATACTCCAGCCTATGTTGCACGTGTTCGTGCCATGGTTCGTGGTGCTGCAAGGGGAATCACAGTTCCAACAAATTTGTCAGCATTGTGGAGCACCTTACAGAAGCTTTTGCAAGAAATGGATGGATCTACTGGTGTGGCTGTTGAAGGTTCATTTTTTCAGTCTCTGTTTAATGGGGTGGTCAAGGAAGGCGAGGTCCTTGGATCACTTCGTGCAGGAGCTCATTGGACTCCAAGTGTAGGTGACATAATTTCTAAATCAATATTGTGGATGTGTTAGATTATGTCCTATGGGGGGGTGGAGGGGGTGTTATGGTTTCAGGTTCTTTTGAAGCCCATTCCAGTTATAGCTATGATTAGTTGTTGTTGTTAACATTGGAGGCAATTTTTGCAACAGGTCTTTGCTATTGCTCAAAAGGAATGAGTAGATTCTTTCTTTTCACAGGTTCGGAGCTAAATATCTCTTAAATCTTCTGATGTTCAGATGCCTATGTTTCAAATTTAATATTGTTTTGTAAATGTTTCGATTTTCTAAATTTGTTGAGTGCATATGATGCATTTCTTACTTTTCATTTATGATTCGCAGATTTCTTCTTCTTTTCATAATGTTTTATGTTATGGGTGTCTGAGAAAATTAATTCCTTAAAATAGTGGTATATCCTATTTTCTTGGTGTTTCTTTTATTTTCTACAGAATTCTTTTATCAGCTACGAAGCTCTGAACAAACTTGGAATTTCCCAGCCTGTTCAGTTCTTGCAGGTATTTTATTGCATTGCTGGGTTTTGGAGTGAATTTCTAATGTCATAAAATTTCTTTGGAGGATCTTCTCTGGTTTTTATCTAACTGAAATTGTTGCTGTGTCACTCCAATTTAGTCCAGGTATCCTGAAGGTACACCTTTAGTTACAGTATTTGTTCACCCATCAATGATTGAGATGTTGGATTCTACTACAGAGGATGCTGTTGAGCGGGGTAGCTGGTAAGCACTAAAAGCAAGAGTTACATTTCTTTTCTTTCTCTTTCTCTTGTTCCTTTTTCAAGCCTATGGTAATTTTATCTTAGCATTGTGATCATATTTTTTGCCCAGTAGTTACAGCTTATATATTAGCTAGAAAAGCTTTCCATTCCTTTTTGTTGTTTAATTGCAACTTATGAAGATCTAATGGGTGATTAAAAAAGTTGTTTTATGTTTACTGGAAGAAGCTTAAAATTTGGGCTTTTTCAATAAGTTTTTTTTTTAGCCCTTTTAAACTTTGAAATGTCAAAGGTATCCTCATCTCGTTCAGAAATTCTACTTTATCTATTCTTTATTATAAAACCAGTTTTGGTAGTATATTACTAGAAAAATAATTTACATTTACACAATCAAACAACCAAAATGTTTTGATAAAAGTTCTATTTTTATATGCGCTACATAAAGAAGCTGTATCTAATGAACTTTTCGTATAAACTTATATGTTTTGATTTGTTGATGATCAAGATCTCATGTAAGTTCTTATACAATTTTCTTCATTTTGATTATGCTATGACATTTAACTTATTTTTCAATTACTTCTACTCCTCTCCCTCATTTGTGCTTTTCTAAGTTAGAATTTCATCACCTTTGGTAATAGTGGCCACTGTATTTTCTTCATAGTTATTTTCTTGGTAATGGCTAAGGGAAAAATATTGGGCTCATAGTTTTTGTCCGTTTCTATCTAGTGGAATTCATATGCACTAAATTGCATGTCTTGTACAGTAACAGAGATAGATATGGAAGGAAACTTATGGAAAGGTTCTTGGATGTAATTCATTTTGTTTCTTTCTTTTCTAATATAATTGGATGGATTAATGCAGGATTGATTCTCTTTCTGTATTACCCCCATCCTTTGGACTGCAAGATGCATCTAAGATTTTGTCTCTTTGTCCATCTGTTCAATCAGCCCTCAAGGTATAATAAGTTACTGTGTTGCAATTTTTTCATGCATTTAATACATTGATTTATTATGCACTGATTCTGTGTCATTTAGCAGGCTAATAAAGTGCTCATCCTGGGTGAAGTCTATGTATTTAGCAATACTTTTGTCAAGGTATAGATATTTGAAGAAGCTCATTTGAGTTCAGCTAGTGATAGTTATTTTCTTTTACTCTTTTGCTGTTTTACATATCACAGCTGAGGTTTCTGCATGAAAGGTTTTACTTCGTTTTGACAAACTGCCCTATTCTAATGGCACCCTTTAGTTTGAACTACACAATTTTGTGGAAAGCAATATAACTTTTATTTACTTGTTTTTCTTCAAGTAAACATTAAAAAAAAGTTGGAATTTTCTGGTCTTGCTATGGTCGGGTTGCTGTTGTTTAAGCTTTTGAGACCCCATCTTTTCTTTATCTATTATTTCCCTAGTTCTGGATAGGTTGCTTTTCTTAACTGTACCTGGAAGCCCAAGAACTTAAAAAGCACCTGTCTCACTATCTCTTAGCATTTCTGCTGGTTTGTGTATGTGTATGTCATTAAATTCTGCTGGCTTCATCTTCATGCCACTTCAATGTTAGGACGTCTATGATCGCTTGGAAAAAGAGATGGAAGCTTTCAGTTTTTTAGGGTCTTCTGGTATCATGCCGAGTGATGATTCAAGCAAATCTACTGAGTCAAATGAAACTAGTGGTGAGAGTGGTCACAAAAATGCAGTGAAGAAAGGATCAAAGAAGAAAAAGGGAAAATCTTCTGGCAATGCAAAATCAGCTGCAGCTGAAAGTGGTAAAGATGACCAGGATTACATCCCTACAAAATCTAAGAAAAACCAGAGGAGAGGCAAGGATACATCTTCATTACAAGTGTCAGATACTAAATCAGGAGCTAAGAAAGACTTAGTGAAAGTGCAAGAGAGCAATCTTAATGTTCCTTCAGAAGAGTGGGTAATGCAAAAGATTATGATGCTGAATCCTGATTTTGAAGAACAAGGTCTGCTGATCTTTTATTTTATCTGTTTGGCAACTGGTATTTAATTTATATCCAATTTGAGTGATGCAATTTTCTGATTTGGCAGGAATAGATGATCCCCAGACAATTCTTCAGCCTTTAGCAAACCATATGAGACCTATGCTAATCAGTCGTTTGAAGGAAAGAAGAAAGGCATTGTTTACTGAAAATGCAGAGAGAATCAAGCGCCTGCATGATAATTTGCAAAAGAGACTTGATGAGGTTAGCTGTCAGAAATATTGTTTGCATTCAGCATTTTAACTCTTATCTGATTTTTCGTACTGGGCAATACTTTCTGTGTTTTTCTGTTGGCAGTCTTTCTTAAACATGCAGCTGTATGAAAAGGCATTAGATTTGTTTGAAGATGACCAATCGACTTCAGTAAGTTCTTCCTATACTTGATTGATATATTAAGTTGTTATTATGTTGATGAAATGGTTAAAACAAGACTCTGTGGTTACAGGTTATATTGCATCGGCACTTGTTGAGAACAACTGCTGCTGCTATTGTGGATACCCTATTTCTTAACTTGGTAGTACTTATGCTTTGGTTTCATTCAGTTGAGATATATTATGATTTGAAATAGGGCCTAACAATAATAGGAACACATTCATTGTAGGACATGCACAATAAATTGAAGAATGGTATTGAAGTTGAGGAGTCCCAACATTCAGAATCTGTTTCACTAAGTTCAGGAGAAAGAGCTGCTCTTGTATGAAATAGTTTACTTCCTGTTCTATCCTTGTTATTTATGAAAATGATGATACTTTCAAAAGTGGTGGTGGTGATCAAATATTTTTCTGCCCCCACTCCCATTTGTTTGTGCAGGCCAAGAGTTTTCCAGGATCACTTTCAAAGAAGGCTCTTGATGTCCTTGAATCTTTGGAAGGGAAGGTCAGTGTTCTTTTTTGGTCAGAAACATGGTGTCTTGATTGGTTGGAGTTATGTCAATAGAAAAAATTCTTACAGTTTTACTGCTTTATATTTTGTGGAAAAGTACAATTTTATCTTTGGCTTTTCTTTTTATGTATTATCTCTTCGATTAACTAAATATTGGATGCCAACACTTTAATTAAAGTTTAAAAGTATTGGTAGCACAAAAAGTTTTAATTGAGTGCCAAAACCGCTGGAGAAGTTGTGCACAACCCTGTGTATACTAGGAATGCAAAATAGTCATGAAATTCTTGGAAAGATCATATCAGATTTTTTTTATGCTAGTGATTGTGGAGGTTTTATATTGATTTTATTTTATTTTTTCTCTCGTTACTTTTTTTATGGGAAAGGATAGCTTATTGGGATACTTGGTAGACAGTGGGGAAGAGGAAGTATGATGTAGGATCTGGACAATGGTCAACAATATCAGACCGGATGTCTCATGACATAGGCTTTTCACTTTTGGAAGGAATTACATGGGAATTTAGGATGATTTTTCCTAATTTCTTTTCTTCAAAAATTGGTGATGGATGAGGTGTAAAGATCTATCGTAATACTTCATATGGAGAGATGTTGCTGACGATTATGCTTCTTTCCTTTCCATTTTGTGTTTAAATATTACTGGCAATCAGAACTTTGGTAACTGACTATGCGGATTTATCTGTTGAGAACTTCAGCAGAATCCAAATTTTCCTATTAACATCACATGAAAGGGAATTGGAACTGGTTGGGGTTTGTTTTTTCAGTTACATTTAGTAAAGTAGTCAGCGACAATGTGCTTAATTTGGAATCTGAAGTTTTACGTTAGTTTTTTCTATTTGAGTGCTCCTAAGAATAGAGATGTCTCTTGAAAAGAGGTCTGTGGTGTGCTGCTAATCATTAAAAATTATCTACTTAGAGGAAAATTTTGTTTTAGCTTGCAATAATTTAACTGTAGAGTTTGTTTCTATTTTTATTATTATGTTGCGTATGCAGCGATAACTTTTAACTTTGAATCTCTATATGACAGCAAGTGGAAACATTTACAAGTGCATTTAGAGAGATCGCAGAGGAGAGGTAATAATCTGCTGTTTTAATGAGCATGTTTATGGCTTCTGTGTTACTTTTTTTCTTCGTCAAAATGGTACTCAGGTTTTAATTGTGGTTCTATCTTTCAGTGGGTTACCCTTGAAAAAGCTTGACAAGAAATTGGAGAGAACTCTGTTGCATTCATATCGAAAGGTGGGTCTTCCTTTGTCCAAGTAAACATAAAATTATTTATGAAACAAATTAGTTTGATTTGTAATTTACACAGCATACTTATCTCCTTAAGTTTTTATCTACTGATGAACTTGGTTATGAGATTACATGTTCTAAGTTGGTACATGATAAAACTTGAAAATACAGATGAGAACTTAGTGCTGTACATTATACTTATTTCTGCATTAGCCCATTCTGTACAAGGCTCTGATTCTATTTGTTATTTTTGGAAATATTTTCATAAGGCTTTGGACTGGATTGAGAAGATAGAAAAGTGTATTCCCTGTGTTTGGCTTAAGAAAAATTGATAGATGATTAGGGATGTTGAAGTCACTTACAACCTGTAAAAATTTTGACATGCATTACCTCTCTTATCATTTTATTGCCAGGATTTGACATGTCAAGTTTCTACTGAGAGTGACCCGATTTCACTTCTGCCAAAAGTTGTATCACTGCTTTATATACAGGTATGTTAATGTAGATTTTCAATATTTGAATGATACAGAAAAACACAATTTTTTTTTTTTTTTTTGCAATTTGGGACCTGAATTTCTTGTTTATAGGTTTACAATAAAGCTCTTCAAGCCCCTGGAAGGGCCATTTCTGTTGCTGTTTCTCGATTGAAGGTATGCCGTGTACTTTATTGTTATTTCAAGTAGGATAAATTTCTTCACTGTTCTTTGTGAGGTAGTAAGAAGTAGAGCATGCTCTCTCCCCATGTGTATGAGGGCTGGGACACTTTATTGGTATTTCATTTGGTTGCATGAAGCCAGCTTCCTTTTCACTTCTGGAAGCCACTTTCTGGAACTTAGGATTATTAACCAGTATCATTTATCCTATGTAATGCAAATGCTTATGCATTTATGTAGCATACCCTGATAGCTATCGTGTAACTTCATGCCCTTGTCCAGCAGCTGGAGCAGATTCTTGATCTCTTTGTCAGTGGAATAGAAAGGAATAAAAATACAATTGGTTGTCAACTTAACATTGTCTAAATTGAAAAAAAAAAAAAAAAAAATGGGTTAGTTTGCTTGGATATGTGTAAGATAAATAACAAGAGCTATTAGAAGCTGGTGCAAGTTGAATATGTCAAGAGGGGACTGAAATACTTTAGTCTAAAGTCTAAACATATGACAGAATATTGTGTTATTAAAAAATAAAAAAATAAAAAAAAATTCAGCTTGTGTTTTCTCAGATAAGTTCATATCAGGTGTCATGGAGCCCTATCTAGCTAGTGTAGAGGGTACATCCTATGCATTGATGGCAAATTCTAACAAAAGTACCAATAAAATGATTTTACTTAAAGCAGTTAGTCTGTTATTGGACTTGATATTCGTACAACTTCTTCCCTTAGCATACTCTTAAGTAATTTGCACTATCTGTTTCTCTTTATACGCTGTCTTTCATTTCTTATTCTGAACCAACTTTTCCATCAATTATTCAGGACAAACTAGATGATTCAGCATATAGGATATTGACGGATTACCAATCTGCAACAGTAACCCTTTTGGCACTTATGTCAGCAGCAAGTGGTGATGTGAGTAAATTTTGTGTTTCACTATGTTCTCGTCTGTAATTGTTAAAATTGATCCTTGTTTTTCTGGCTCTGAGTAGATTTTATCAAGCTCTAGTGTGTATGTGTGTGTGTGTGTGTGTATATATATATATATATATTGGTAATTGGTGAATAGAAACTGGAAAGAAAAATGTGGTATTATACATAGTAGTCTATGTATAACATTTTGAGATTAGCTTAAATTGATATTGCATTGTTTCATTGTGCTATTCTGTTTCTGTAATGCTCAGGAGCAAGATTGTTCATCTGATAGAATTTTGAGTAAAAGAGAGCTTCTGGAAAATCTAATGCCAGAACTGAAAGGCGTGGTTTTGGGCACCTCGCAATCTTCAGCCGGCATGGAAATAAAATCAGAAAATTTTCCATAGAGGAGGCTGGCCATATTATACTTTCCTCCTTGTTGCAAATACAAGCAATGTGTCCGGATGTTTAGGCTGTAACAGTAACTCATCTAACTAATGTTTCTTTAATAAGACAAGCAAATATTAGATTGTCTTTGAAGCTAGAGAAGCATAAATGCTTATCCCAAATGGAGTGTTCGTTTTTGTTTCAGCTTTATTATTTTATAACAATGGAATATAAAATCAAAGTAATCATTAGTGCACATAAGATTTACGCCATACATGAGAATGGTCGGCGTGAGAGTTTTCTTAAATATAAATTTTTGACCTCTCTCTTGTGGAAACCTTTTAGCTGCTAGAGTTAGTTATACCCAGGAGGTCTTGAGTCACAAAAGAGGTATTTATCACATTTGTATAATTATCTTGGTCTAGTAGATTTGTAAGGGTCTGTTTGTTTTAATATTTTTGAAAAATTAAGAGTTGGGCGGAAATAACGAGGTAGGATTTGAAAATTAACAAAAACACTCTCTTTAAGTTTATTCATTTACTAAATACTCTTATAATAAAAACATTAAAAATTATAAAAACACCTCCACCTACTCATTAAATATCGACAGTCGGCTATCACCGTTGGAGGGTGGTTAGAGTTGTCGTATCGGCGCACGATCGATTGGATCTGATCAATCGTGCGTCGAGATGACCTTATCTAGTCATGTTTGATCGTTAACGATGGTCAAAGATATGGCTGTCGTTGACGACCAGTTACAGCCAGATCTTTTGCCGTACATCTGGCCTTTTTTGACCAGATCCACTACGGATCTGGTCGAAAAATAATAGATTGGTGCACTAATGGTCAGATCCAGTCGATAATGCGCCATTATACCAGATTCCGACCACCTTCTGGCGATGGTATCCGGAATTTGGAAAATGTGGGTGAGTGAGGGTGTTTTTGTCAATTTCTAATTTTTATTTTTATTTTTATTTTTTTTTGTTTAGTTAAATTAACAAACTTAGGAGATTTAAAATAATTGAATAAACTAAAATAGGATTTTCAAAATAGGGAAACAAATGTGTATTTTAGGTAGGATAGTGCAAAAATAATTAAACAAACGGACCCTTAAGATGTTTCATGCCCTCGAGGATTAGATAGGTTTTAATGCAGGCATAGATGCTTTAATTTCCTAAAAACTTGATGAATATTTTGCTAAGAATGATCTGCCATCACTTGAGATTATATACATGGATTTAATTGTATGAAATATTTGAAGTTCAATATTTCGACATAGATTGATTGACGAGGCAGGGTCAACCGACAGAGTTCTTACATGTTTGTAATCAAATGTAATATGTCTTCGATCAGGACGATAAGGAACGGACAATAAGCACTTACTATATAGTTGGAATGTCTGCTCTCTAAATTTATGTTTCATGACACATAGTTCATAAGAAATCTTGCAGAAGACCAATCTCTCTCCGGAAATGGAGGTCCGTAAATTGTTTTATTTTTATCAGCAATTCTCTTCCTACAACCAACGCAATGTAAGAATTTTTCTCTTTTGGGTAATTGATATCTACGTCCCTTAGGGCTTAGGGGTCAAATGTGAGTTGATTATTTTGTTTATATTAAATCCCGCATAATTAGTAATTAAAGTTGATTAGTTTATATTTGAAAGACAATTACATGAAATTTAAAAGTAAATCTATTACTTTATTTAAAAACACTCCAAATATTTACATTTTATTAGAAGAGAAATTAGTTCAGTTTATTGTAATCTGGAGAGGTTTGTTAATGTTCTATTTTCACATTCTTCTGCTTACATTAACCAAAAAGTGAAATAGAACATACAAGTTTCTGACTCCATTTAGCTGTTGGTCACAGCATTCAGCTAAAGCTGGTTCGTTGTTGTTGATGCGTGATTTTGACACCCGTGTGAAATGCTGAGCTGGCCCAGAAGACACGTGAATGAGAGAAATAGGTAAAAACAATAGAGAACAGCGTTTAAAGTGGTTCGGATGCTAAGGAAGCAAATCCTACGTCCACTGATTTTGTATTAATGACGGCGCGAACTGACTTATAAATGATTATATAAGAGAGAGGATGCTATTTTTTTTTTAGAAAGATTAGCTAATCCCTTAAATGAGACAGTAGCTCTCAATTTATAGTAGGATGGATTAAGGTTATCATTACTAAATCTGTGAGTTGGTGAGATTATCCGTGCAAATCCTTCTTTATGTCCCATTGCCCACCGTCTAGAGTAATTTAGGCCATTTGGTGTAGGGATTTGACACGTGGAATCGCTATAGCTCCTGGCTGGTCTGACGCGCACCCACTGCCTTGACACGAGCATGCCACCCCTGTCATTGTATGACATGGCTGCCTCTAACTGGCTGTGGGCCTACCTAAACTTTGACTTTTTATGCTGATTGAGTCTTGCATCAGCCATACATTTCCAGGCATAACAGTTGTTGACTGTGGATCTTCAAATGAAACATCAATCGGGCGGCATTGATGTGTGGCGTACTGATTCAGAATTCATAGAGAAGAGATAAAATATCATCCTCACTCCCAACCAAAATTTCAGTATCATGAATACCCTACGGTATTTCCCTAATGACCACAAAATCTGCTACAAATTGTCATTAGTTCCCCTTACTAAGTTTCTATGTCGAGCTGGGTTCTTTTATGGCAACTATGATGGGCTGTCAAGGCCACCAAGTTTCAATTTGGAGATAGATGGTAATTTATGGGCAACAGTAACTTCTCTGAGCCAAGAAGAACCATGAATTGCTTTATAGGACAAAAGAAAAACATACAATTGTTTCCGTGTGTTTAGTGCGAACTAACGATGATGATGTTCCTTTTATTTCTTCGCTTGAAGCAACAATTCTGTTCAATCGCACATACAGGTTGATGGAGAATCAAACAGCTTCACATCTCCAGAGCAGGATCGACTATGGTGGAAATGAAAGCTTTACCGTTGATAGGTAAGTATATTTGTCATCTAAATGAGGGTTTCTGCTAAGCTTCTCGCCAGCACTGTTTATAATTTTACTACATTTGCTCGCCATTCTCCTTTCGTATTAATTTTCCAATAAAATTTAATCGGATTATACTCATACTATAGTCCATCAGTATTGGAAAAGTCTAAATCATGAGGGTGTGTTTGATGTGTTGTACTTTATAAGAACAACATATTGCCAAATTAGGTAATTTGTTGACGAGTTTTTAATAAATGATTTAAACTTTACGTTAAGTTAAAATTATGTTTTTAAATGAGTTATTAAATTTAAATAAATGCTTGTTTAAAAATTTAATTAAAAAATAAAATATAATGTGATGCTCAAAACATTATGTCATGTTCTATATAGCATTATATAGTATTATTTAGTGCAATTCACAATATTATACGATATAATAAATACTACCCTATAGAGTCTGACGCACCAAACATGGCCCGAGTCTTAATTATTTCTAAATGTTACATTTGTCTTTCTTTATTTTTATTTCAAAATAATTTTTTTATGTGTGGTGACGTGGCTCCTGATTTGCCACGGTGGAAGTCAGCATAACTGTCCAAGTCAAACTTCCATTATGCGACGTCGTTTTGGCCAACCTAAAAGACTTATCTAATTAGGTCTTCTCATTATCGAGCAACCCTCATTTCTCTCTCATTTCTGTTTGGCTCAACAGCCTGTTTGGCATGACAGCTGCTCACCTTGAAGAAACTTCTAGAATCGATCCAGCAAGCTTTCAGTTATGGAGAATCAAGGACAGATGGCTGATGATCCAGGAGAAAAGCCTGCGTATTTAAAACATGCTTTTCCAGAGAGAAAGATCAGAGTTTTGGGCAAAGCTATTTAGGGTTTTCTCTAATCGGTGTGTTCTTTCCTTGTTAATGGTTTACCTTATGTTCTGATGAAAGCTTTATCACTGTAGATTCTTGATTGATAATAAAATCCCTAGTGTGAGCCTTGGAGAGTGGATGTAGGCTGTAAAGCCGAACCACTATAATCTTGCTGTGTCTTGTTCTCTACTTGTCTCTATTTTATCTGTCATGAGTTTAATTGTTGATCTGTCACCAAGTTTTCATCATTGAATCAGTTATTCAATAACCCTAGAATCTTAACATTATGAATTCATTTATTTTTCACTACAAGAAATGTAAAAAAGGGTGATGAAACTTTTCGTCAAAGAAAGTGAAAAATTCGTCCTAAAAAGTAATAGGGGAACTTTTTAGAACTACAAACCAAATCTTCCCTAATACCAAAGGGTAATGCCCACGAAAAAACAAATAATCCCCAAAGCCAATATTAACGATTATTTATTTTGTGACGAAATTTTTTGTTCACTAAAGAATAACTATTTGTCCCAAATAATTTTGTTTTGTTCAAAAAAAAATTGCCTCGGATTGGGTCGATAATTGGGGACAAATGTTTTCATCATTGTCTGTACAGTGAATTGGGGACGAAAATTTTCATCCTTGATTGTGTCAAGATTTGCGGATAAAATATTTCATCTTTTCTTTTACGATGAATTATGATGAGAATTTGTTCCTGATTAAAAATTAACATATGTATTGATTCTCGTCAAAAAAATCATATGAAACATCTTTTTAACTAAGTAAAAAATATTAATCAATGTCAAATTGATACTACTACAAATCAACAAATAACCAAGTAATAACAAAATCTTATTTATCCATACATGTATCATAAACACATCCAATTGTAACTAACATATAAACAAAAAGTATAAAATGCATCAGTCATTAGTGTAAAATAACTACACTTTCTTTGTTAGTTGGATGTTAAAATATATACTATTTTCTTCACTACTTGGATGTCAAAAAAGGTACTACTCCTATAGTAGTTGCATGTCAAAAGAAGCAAAAAAGCGAATTGTTAAAGCTGTAGGACGTCTTTGTATAACCATGTCAGACAAGTCTACAACAATCATTATTAACAATTACTCAACTATATATTTGTCTAAAGTTAACTTTCTCTTGATATTTGAGATTTCTCTCATCTGATTCTCTAAATCTATCTTCGGATTCTTTAAGAGCATCAACAAGTTTCTTAATTTGAAGACCACTTGAGAAGAAATCCAGTCGGATAAAGGAAGCTTAACGTTCGCATGAATCAGAGAAGGTCTTGGGTGATGATGGCTGACTGTTAGAGAAGGAAAATAGTCACCGAAGGTGGAAGTTGGATAGTTGTCGGAAAATGGATGAAGATGGGTGGACGTTTTTGGC